AGTTAAATATTACTCAATTTTATCATAACTATTACATGAACTATATTGTAAATGGTACCATTGAACTTTCTATAATAAAAAGGTGACAGAAATCTGATGATAATCCAATTATGAGATTTAATTCTGATGATGGTGAACTTAAGCTAATAAAAGAAATTGACTTGTCATCAAAGGCATCAGAGATAAAAGATAATAAAAAAATTAATTAGTTTAATTTTATTGAAAGTGTTAGATCGATGGCATTAATTTTTTATATAAGAAAAAAAAAGAAAAGATATTACCAATTTATGATTAGAAGTTACTTTGAAAGGATATAGAATCTAAAGATTCCTGTCTTAAATCATTCTTTAACATGCTTGAAAAGTTGATCAATCTAAGTGGTAGGGGTCTTATAGATCAAATTATCGCGTAATGACAAAAGGGACTTTCTTTCTTGTATTATTTTCTTGCAGAAATTGGAAATAAACATATCAATTCACTAAAAAAGATATTGCAATATTTTTGGATAATTCAGATATTTCTGATCAGGCTATTGATACTTTATTTAATATGCAATTAAGTTCTACATCAAGAAAAAATCAGCATAAGAAAAATGTTATATTTTTAATTCACAAGGATAATGTTACAAAAAGAGCTTATAAAATATCAAACAAATGCAATAGTTGCAAATATTGATAACTATCATAACATTCATGATTTATGGATGCTAACAATCACTTCTACTAGTACCGTTGTTCACATGACTACCATTCTTGCTATTCCTATACTAACAAGCAAGTATAATTCCAAAAAATATTGTATATAATATAGATGTAAACTAATACAGCATACATAACCCATTACTTGTTGATAGCAATTCTTTGATTTTTTAAATAGAAAGTCATCAAATGGCTCTGCTTTCTCAATCATCTAATAATCGATTTATAGGATAACTTACTTTCTCTGAAGATGATTTACTTAATAATTTAACTATTCATTACTATGATGTAAATATTCATGAAAAATGGAAAGATCAGTAACTTAGAAATACATTATTAATAGATTTTATCAAACTTGATTTGCATTCAATAGAGGCATATATTAAGGCTATAGAAACATTTGCATCCTTTTCAGAATTTTGAGAGTATTTTCAACATAATGTTATTTCATTAATTGCTAATTGGCCAGGCCAAATACATTTTTAAAAAGCAATTACTATGCAATTACAATAATTGAAAAAGAGTAATTGAACAGGAATACCAAAGTGTATTACTTCTTTATTCTAATTATAGGACTTTTACATGTATTTCTTAATAGTCGTGAAACTGTTATTTTATTATTTTATGATTTTTTAATTCTGCATACAAATATATTTTGAAATAAAGAAAAAGCTTGTTAATAAATCTCATTTTTAGAGAATTAATTTTTTATTACAATTAATATCAGATGCTTAGAAAAATATTGCTTCATATATTAAAGAAAAGATTGAACCATCTTGTTTTAGAGATGTTGAATATCTTATATTAAAAATTCTTTTAGATGACACTATTTTTTTGATTTTAAATATTTATGCAACAATTTTAGATCAGGCAATTGGAAGATATATATTGAGGCTTATATAAGAGTATGGTATTTATTTGCTTAATTTAAACGAAAAAATTATAACAAAGTACTATTATTTTTTCTTTCAGATGTCTGGTATTGGGAAAATATTAATCATTCTATTCTTGAAGTTCTAAAAACTATCTTGCAATATTTAATGACTATCTTGTAAAAAATTATCATTCATTAATTCGATAACAAACAAGAGAAATAGATACATATGAGTTGATTGCTAAGAAAATCAGGTTCTGGGAATTTTTTAGCAAAATTGAGATTTTTATTGCATTTTAGTTTTTGATGTTTTTAGATTAAAATGTATTAAACTCTTAATTTTAGTCAAAAATTTCTCAGAACCTGATTTTCTTAGAAACACTCCCATATGAATAACTTTTAAAAATAGCACATATTATTAATTATCTTCGTCATGATAATATGTCTCAAAATGCATTCGTTACAGCAAAAAATATTCTTATTATAAAAAAGATTTAGTAGGTTTAACTAACAAAACATCTATTTTTCTTTTAGAATTATTTACAAAAGTTAAAAATAATGTTGGAAAAAGTAAATGGACAATTAATCAATGTGATAAAAATAAGCTTTCATATCATCTTGCAACTCTTGATATGGATGTAGATGAACGATATTTACCAATGACTTTCATATCAGAATATCCACCATTTGATCCATTAGAAAGATGTCATTTTCAAAATTCTTGTCAAATATTACAATCAATGTCTACTTTTCATATATCAATTTCTCTTTCATGTGATCATGTTTATCAATAATATTGTTTACAATATCTTGAGTATAAATGTTTATATTGTTTAAAGTATATTAAAGATGAAATTAATAATAATGTAAAATCTATTATTTGTAAAATTACTGAAGAAAATGTTAAAATTGAAATTGATCAAGAAGATGAAGTTCAATTAATAAATAATGATGCATTTGAAAATTTATCAAAGCAAATATTATTTAATTCTCAAGTTGCAAATCAATTCAAAATAGCACTTGAAATATTCATGAAAAATTAATAAAGAAATCACTATATTTTATTAATTTCAAAAATAAATAAGCATATATAATTAATTAATAATTATTAATATACTTAGTTCATGTTCAAAATCATATTAAATTTAATAATAAAATTAGACCAATCAAAATTAATCATTTCAATAACAATTAGGAAATGATCAACATAAAAATTGATTAATCATACAAATGTCTGCTATGCTGCATTAATAACATTAGATGCATTACTAATATTAAGTGGGTTGGGTAAGTTGCCAATATTAGGTGTGTTATCAACGTTAGGATTCATTATATTGAAAAATTATTTTAGATTGTAGAGAATAGAAGAAAGAAAAATAATACTAATCAAAAAATATACTGTATTATCATTGGAATTAAATAGAATGCATAAAAATCAGTGAAATCA